ATCATTGAAACCAGAGACGTTTCAACGCGCTGTGAATTTGTATTTAGCCGAACGTCGATTCAACACTTCGACCCCTAACGATCTTTGGAGCGCTTTCGATAAAGCTATCGAGGAGACGAATGATCTAGATGATTGGCAGATCGATATGAAAACGTTGATGCACGGTTGGACGAATGAACGAGGATATCCCGTCGTTTATGCAACGTTGGAGGCCAACACGATAACGTTGACTCAGGTAGTTTTCTTCCTTTTTAATAATCAGCAATTATTTTTCAATAATATATGAACACTTTGATGAGCAAAATATTTTAACATTCTATAAACGCTCACAACAATATTGAGGGTTGAGAATCATTGTATACTATCAATATCATTTCGATATACTAATACAAGTTAAAATCAATGAATGAAACTGGAAAATATATAGAGACAATTTATATACCAATTCTTTATCAGTTGAATTCGATACTGTTATAATTTTTATCGATATATATCTTAACAAGAGGATACTTGATATGAAAATAATTAAACCAACCCCAAATAATTAAACAATTTTTTCAGAGAAGTTTCAACACGAACGAAATAATCGACGATTTCTACATACCCATCACGATGACCACCGCCTCCCAATCCGATTTCGAAACAACTTGGACCAACATTTGGTTGAACAACGGGCCGAGAACTCTTCACCACCCGAATCCGGACGAGTGGTTCGTCCTGAACGTTCAACAGAGCGGTTACTACAGGGTGAATTACGACGTTAATTCGTGGACGAAGTTGATCAACGCGTTGAACAAAAGCGATCACAGCACGATAGACGTGACGAATCGGGCTCAAATCATCGACGATCTGTTGAATTTGGCACGGGCTGGCCACGTCGATTACGAGATCGCTCTCAACGGAACCACGTATCTGTGGAACGAGAAGTACTACATACCGTGGAAGGCGTTTTTCAACGGGTTCAATTTCATGCTGCAACGTTACCAAGGGCAGAAAGGGGAGGATTTGATCAAACGATACGCTTTGATGTTGGCCAATGGCATGTACGAGAAAATAGGTTTCGTTGATGACGAGATGGAGAGTCATTCGAATCATTTGAGCCGAGATCTCATCCTTGCTTGGATGTGCAAACTGGATCATAAGAATTGTGTGAATACGTCCGTCGAGTTGTTCGCCAATTGGATGAAGAAAGGAAATTCGTAAGAGAAAGATATATTTTTATTGTGTAATTTAATTGTACGAATAATTGCTTTCTAATTTTTTCTTTCTCTCTCTCTCTCTCTCTCTCTTATACGTTCTTTCGATTTCTTATTTCGTCATGATTCTTTAAATTGCACTAAATTTTAATATATGATAATTATTACAATAATTATAGAATTATATTGTCAAAATTTTGCTATTCTTTCGATCTTTTATCGATTTTCGAATATCGAAATTATTCGATATTATATAATTTAGCATTGGTGAACTCGTCGATATATTTTGTTTTGAGAAATAAAAGAAAATATAAATTCATTCTTCGTGTGATATCCGATTATTCGGATTCGATTATTAAGATTAAAACGAACAAAAAATTTTCGAACGATAAATTTTAGGATTTCACCAAATGCGAGAGCAGCGGTTTATTGTACAGCTATAAGGGAAGGAAGTCAAGATACGTGGGAATTCCTATGGGAGGAGTATCGAAGCACAAACTTTGCTTCTGAGAAGAAAATTATACTCGATGCTCTTGGTTGCTCCAGTGACAAAGAGAGATTGAACTCGTGAGTCTAGCTGAAAATAAATTTTTTAAACGATCTTTCTATTTATTTAATTTTAATTTTAATTTTAATTTTTCTATTTATTCGCAGATATCTCAGAATTGCATTGGTTAATCAATCTTCTATCCGAAAACAGGATATTAATGCTGTGTTTGCTTCCATTTATAATTCAGGAAAATTCGGGGTAGACACGATGATAGATTTCCTAATAAATAATTATAAAATGTTATACGATTAGTAAGTGCACGCGTAATTAAACTGTAAAATTGTAAAAAATAAGGATGTAAGAAACAAGAATATATTACAATTTGTTCACTTTCAGCTACGATAATTGGGAAGGCGTCCAAGATTTAGTTTCTAAACTGGCGCCTAAGATTTCCACTCCAAATCAACTTGCAAAGGTATTATATTTATTTATTTATTACACTTTTATAATTACTTTAAATTTTTAATATTTTAAATTTTTGTCTCTTAAATTTACATTTTGTAAGATTAAAATTTCAATTGAAGTATTCAATCACATTCCTTTTATAGTTAAAAATATTCTTATTGTTTAAACAATCGATCAATTGAATAAGTATTTCACTTATCAATCGAAAGTTTAAAAAGATTCTCGAATTAAGTCGTGTAATTCGTATAGTTTCAGTTCGTTTATTCTATTAAACTATTGATCAAAGAAGAAATTTATTATATGAAACACGTTGGTGGAATCGAACGTGTTAAAAATTTTCAATATAATATTTATCTTTATTAAATCTTGTAGCTGAAAGAATTGAATACCAAAGAAAGTGACATCTCGATTATAATGAGCAGCATCGATTCCGCGATTGAAATCGCTGTGGAAAACATGAAATGGTACGAGAAGTATTCGGAACAGATTAACACATGGTTCAACCACACTATTCATAGGATGCAATCTGACAATGGGAATGCAGCTACCTCAATTGTCCCGAATAACTTAGCCATAACTTTTGTGACAGTATTCTCGTTATTCGGATACTTGTTAAATCAATAATGAGCAGGGATAGGGAGAATGTACAATTTTTTTGTGCACAAAATTTTCGAACGAATATTGTTATATATACTAATTTTGTAAATTATATTTTATGAATATTGAATGATTTGTAACGCTATGCTTGTTTTTAATAAGTGAAATAAAAGTTATGTATTTGGCTCGCGTCATTTTATAAGTATAATAACGATTTTCTTTTTTTTTTATTTTAATCTTTGGATTTTTTTTGCGAGAAATACAAAATGGACGATTATTTGTACTTGTTGGTTGGAATTTAATTGTAAGAATTTTAAAATTACGAAGGATGATTGAAGAATGAGTTTCGAATTATCGTACATGTTCCAAGCTTTGAAGAATTTTATTATCAAAAATTAAGGAAAATTTCAAAATTAAAGGAGAAATCTTTCTTTTTCATCGCATCATTTGGATAAATAAATCATATTGATATAAAATATTTATAAAAAATATTTGAAGGATATTGTTGTAAAGGGATATTAATTTACATCGTATCACAGATATAAAACACTCGCAAAGATATAAAAATCGATACAACTTTATTGAACCCGAGATACAATGTTATTATACAATTTTTATAGTCGCAATTTTTTTTTTAATGCGTAATACTCTCACAGCGATGGTTTTTTTTCTTTTTTTGTTCTACGAACAAATGGAATTGCGACGATTTCGCGTTCGATTTTCCAAGAAATCGGTGGAAAAACAATATACGGTGGAATTTCATAGAAACTGGAAGATCTCGAATCTCTTAAATATTTAGAACACGATATTGTGCGTGATAGAAGAAATAAACATCGAAATAGAAAATTTTTTAATAAATAATTTGTGCATGTCTTTCTTTTATTTTCTTTTTTTTTTATTTATTTATTTATTTATTTTCTTACTTCATTCCTCAGGAACTCAAAAACTTTTCGTCACTAATTATTTCCAACGAACGTTGTTCGCGGATTTCAAAAATTAGAAAATTCGAGAGACACGGGCTCAAAACACGTAAAAAAAATATCTCGCATCGCTGAAGAGAAATAGAAACCTCCCATAAATAACGATTCGAACTTTGAATAAATAACAACAAAAAAAAACACGGACATGGAAAACTAATTACATTTTTTCGTTAGATTTTCTTCTAAAAGTAAAAAAAAAAAAAAATTTATGAATTACAACTAAGATCTTTTTTAAATTTCAGAGTCAGATCATCGTTAGAGATCGAAGAAAGATTTATTTATAAAAAGGATTAAATGAAAATTGAAGATTCGATGAAAAAATTGTGGGAAAAATTGTTGTCAGTTTGGGATTTGATCCGAAAAAGATCCAGAAAAATTTACGTTACAAATTTCTAAATATTCGTATGTATAACACAATATAATGTTATAATATCGTAATATTAACACGATATTATAACGTTATACGATAATTATATCTTAATCACGTACAATCTATTTAAAGTTTATCGACGAGTTTTTAAAATTAATGGTCGTTTACACTAATTCTCCATCCGAACAATTTAGAGAAGTATGCATGTGGATTTAATGTGCACGAGTTGCACGAAATACTTGTACATTGGCCTGTAATTCGACCTATTCCATCTATAAATATCTTTAAACGTTCCGTTATTATTATTACGTTACATTAAATGCTCAACGCGTATTTACAAAAAACATGCAAAAGAGAGAGAGGGAGAAAAAAAAACACTTAATATTCTGCCTCGTAACACTTAATAATTTGTTTCGTTCTTTTTTTCTTTTTTTTTTTTCT